CGGTCTGAGCGCCCCTTCCCTCTCTCGGTTGGTTCTCCAGCCCCGTCCCTACCCACTCCTCCCCCAGCATCTCAAAAACAAATTAGGCAGAAGGAGCCAAGAGGGAAACTAATACCAATCCCATTAAATTCTACTGCCTGAGCTGTGTTTTATAATTGAAAAAAACCCCTGTTTTATAACTTTAAAAAAAAAAAAAAGAAGAGAACAATTCCTTTCCCTCCCCTCCTCCTCCTCTCCTGCAAATCCTACTCCCTCTTTCGTTGGAGAAAATGAATGAAAATAGAGAAAAAGCAGGCAGGAAGAATGGAGGGTGTGCAAAACGCTCTCAGGTGTCTAAATGTGGAATTTAAAATTTGCAGAATAGCGATAATCACTCCCAGACACTAAATATCTGTCCTAAAGCAATTAAATCAATCTTTAGCTTGTGCAAATGAGCAGTCCTTAATAGGAGCATCTTTGACTCTTGTTGTGCTGTTGCTTTCAGTAACAAGCACCCCACGAACCCAAGAGCCACAATTTTTCCCCATCAGTAGGGCTCACTTGAGCCAAGTGCTCCAGTTTTACCTTCGTAGCGATGTGAATGCAACGGGATGCTATCTTAGCCGCAGGAGTACTGTGCAAATCCCTCCTGCAGCCCCTCACCAAGGTGGTGGTACCCTGTCCTGGGCAGCAAAACACTGTCTCTGCTGCTGTTTCCACGGTGGGTCATCCCTGGGAGAACGGGGGATGCAATGTCGGCAGTGCTGTTCATGCACAAGGCTGCTGTCTCTTTTCCTTGTGATCTCCAGAGTGGCTCACACCAGAATTACTCTGCCTCTGGAGGTCTTTAAAGAGGTGGTGCGATGCTGAAGGATCTTCCCTTTTCCCTTAATGCTGAGCTCTTTGATGGTGCAGTTCATCCATACTTCTTACTGTGATTTCTGCAAGGAAAGGAGGTGTCAGTATGCTAATTTTAAAGACAGGGAAGTAGAAGCATGAAAGAAAATTATTTTGCAAAAGGTTCCTGATTTCAGTTTCCTTGCGCAGGATGGCGATAGTCTGTTTCTATCAGAGATGCCAAGCATCTGCAGAAGACACTGACCATAATCCAGGTCTGAGATGTTCCACTCATATGGAACCAGCATTGAAAGGGTCTCATTGCTGGATGCACGGACACAGAAACCTCTCAAATTAAATGCTGCTGCTGAAAAACCTGTCTAATCCTTCCCCAAGATCACCAGCAGATTCTAGACCTTTAAATATTTTGGCATATTAATTTGCGTATCATACTGATTTTAGCTTTATGCTCCTAAGAAAGAAGCTTAACTCCTCACATGTCCCTTCTACCTCCACGTCTCATGGCTTTGCTCTGACTCACCACGTTTGGTGATGAAGAAGAAGCCAGCCTCGGCCACACAGAACCCACCTGCACAGAGCTTGTGACTGCAGCTGAGTGGGACGTTTCTCTATTTCCTATAAAAATACTCATGATCTCAAAAACATTCTTGTTCTGCTTTTGGACTGATCTGAGATCTTTAGGAAATCACAGTGGGGATGGAGTGAATAAGAGAGCCAGAAGAACGCGTCCAAGAACAGCCACAGAACAGCCACTATCTCCCGGGCATTGCCCCGCTCACACCAGCTGCTGGGGCAAAGCCTCCAACACCCGAAAAGTGCTGTATATATTGAGCTTCCAGCTCATTTAAGGTGGATTATTTACCCTGGTTTATTATTTGTGACTTATTACAATATCCAGAAATTCCATCTGGGAGCCATGAAATCTTTCCCAGTGAAAAACAAACCAAAACTAGGAATTTCTCCTTAAAATTATTGGGCTTAATGAACTGTTATTTTCCAAGCAGCTCTGGGTGGGAGCCACCTTCTCCTCAGACCATCAGGGTTACAGAGAGGTCAGTGCAGAGCCGCAATCTCTGCATTGATACGATGCCCATCACAACAGTTCCTGAGCATCTGCCCAGATGATCATCACATTTTGGCCGAAGCAGCCAGGAATTATTTTGATGCGCTTCTTCCTTGCCGTTGCTAAGCTGTTCTTACTGCTACAGTCTTTCTTGGAAGGCAGAGGCGAAGAGCAGGACACCACCTCCAGCGCCTGGCCGTTGCACAGACAAAAGGAGGACACGTCCCCACCCCTCACAGCTTTACAACTGCAAAAGGCAACAGCTGAGTGCAAAGGCACAGGAGGAAGAATGAGATGTTGCAGTGACCGATGGTCTGGAAGGGTTTTGTTGTCACCAGGAATTTTTTAAAACGATGAAGTGTTTGGTGATGAGGCTTAGCTGATTCATTTCTTGCAGGAGTAAGTCCTGTCGTGGGCTAGCAGCTGAGAAGCCTTTGTCCTTTTTTTAGGCCACTGCTGTCAGGATGCTGCTCTTTGAGAGGGACCACACAGCTGCGGGAGACGCTGTGTCCCCAGGACACTCCGCTCAAACCCACGCTCCCTGGGGAGAAGCAGTGAGCGTCATCTCCAGCCTCCTGAAACAGGAGGTGCTCGAATAGCTCCCAGAGCACGTATGCATTCTGCAGGGTCAGAAATGGAGAGGTTCTGGGAACAGTCCCCGAGGAGAAGAGCCGCAGTCCCCAGGCACAACCTGCTGCGTGTACGAGAGCTATGAGAAAAAAGGTTTTTGTAATGGAATGGAATGGAACAGAATGGAATGGAACGGAACAGAACAGAACAGAACAGAACAGAACAGAACAGAACAGGAGTAGAGTAGAGTAGAGTAGAGTAGAGTAGAATCGAATCGAATCGAATCCAATAGAATAGAATAGAATAGAATAGAATAGAATAGAATAGAATAGAATAGAATAGAATAGAATAGAATAGAATAGAATAGAATAGAATAGAATAGAATAGAATAGAATAGAATAGAATAGAATAGAATAGAATAGAATAGAATATTTCAGTTGGAAGGGACTGAAAACAATCATCTCGTCCAGCTGCCAGCCCACATGGAGTCAGGAGGCGGCTGGGTTGAGCAGGGCTCGTAGGGGTGCAGGGTACAAACTCAGCACTGCTGCAAAGTCAGATTAATTGTCTCCATCAATATCTACTAGTGAGGGCTAAAGCAATGCCCGGGCCTGATTTCCCATTATTTCCTTTGCTGTTGACTGGTTTTAGGCCTCTCATCTTTTCTTCCTCATCTCTGCCCATCGCTTGCCTGCACCCTTTTCCTGCCTTTTCCCCTGCCATTTTTAAACGCCAAGGACCCTGCTGTCTCCTCCCTGCTTTCTGCTGCGAGTCTGGAGGGAAAGGGAAGGAGCCATGGGGAAGAAAAAGAGATCGGGAAAGCCACGTGTCCTGGAGCATCACCTCCTCTCCTTGCACCACACGTGGCGAGACAGCAGCAGCAGAATAAAAAGAAGACTC